TATCAGAGTGTTCCATCTCATTTCCCTTTGGGGTTGCTGTAGGTGATCTGGAAATCTGGTTTTGAGGCTTGTTTACCTATCTTCTAATTTCGATGGGGTCGTGCTGCTGTTGCCCATGAGGCTCACCTCCTCTGTGCTGGGAGCAGTGCTGTGGTAGCCCAGAAGCCTCTTCCTCTGTGCTGGGAGTGGTGCTGTGGTGGCCCAGAAGCCTCCTCCTCTGTGCTAGGAGTGGTGGTACGGTGACCCAGAAGCCTGCTTCTCTGTGCTCAGTGTCTTCTTTCTTAAGGCTCTCTTAACCTCTATGCTGTCCCTAGCAATCTGAAGTTCACTGACTGATCACAGCTTAATTAATTGCAATAGCAACCAGCATTGAGCACCTGTGGTATTGGCAGTGCACACTAGTTTTGTTCCATGTTAGCTCATTTCATACTCAAGGTAGCTTATACAGATTATTATTTTAATTTATGGATGATGAAGCTGAGGTTCTGTGAAGTTCAATTGCATGTTCAGTACCACTCAGCTATTTGAGTTTGGACTTGAGCTCAGGCTTTTCCAAACCATTTTGTAAGTTTGTCAATGGCAGAACACTGGAAGAATGATCACCTTCTTTTAGGAATTGCAGGACAAGTATTCACATGCAGTAGAATAAACACTAGGTTCAAGTCTGGAATATATTGTCATGTAGGTGTGTGACAAGGCAAGTCTTTTTAACCTTTTGCAGTGTCAGTGTCTGCCATATAAGGTAAGATTTGGTCACATGTAAGGCCCTTGCCAGGTTAAGTTTCTGATTCTAGACAATTGGGAAAAAGGAATGACTGAATCCACTACCTCCTATCCCAGGAGAAGATTAAGGCAGAGAGGGAAGACTGCTCAGATTTGTTGAATCCTTGAAGTGTTGGCCCAGACAGACTCTGATTGGCTGCAGACATAGAAAAATGATGTGTGCCTGTGGAAGGATATGGGTGAGTCTGACCTATTGCCAGAGGTCACTGTCCTTTTAGGTCTAGTTGGTGGAGTGAGAGCTATCTGTGCTTTTTGTGCTGTAATCCATGTTGAGCTCTTGTTGTGAATGTCTCTCAAATCTGTTTCTCAAGAATGCTCCTTTGTCTTTTCCTTTTTCTCTTACCCTATAATGAACCTGACCTTGACCTGAGCCCCCAGAGGCCTCTATCCCCCTCACATGTGAACCATTAATGTCTAGGACAGGATGTAATTGGAAGAGAAAGGAAGGGATGGGTCCTTGAATTCTACCCAAATGGATTCTTCTCCTGCTCATTAGAAGCCAGATCTTTCTACTTGCAGTCTCCTGTGCTTGTGCACTAGAGGGTTTATCTTTCCCCCACAGTCCTTGCTCTTTCAGCTGTATTTCTCCAGGCAGTGCAGGAAACTTACCTACACCCAAGCCTTTATCCATTATACATGTCTCCCTTCTCCCCAGGAGAACTTTTTCCTATAGCTCATGTTTCATGCTTATGGGCTGCTATCCTCTGTTAGTACCCAGGTAACAGTAAAAAGCTACTGTTTATCGAATGTCTTAATGTTTTAGACATTTTAGTAACTGCCTTAGGGTGTTTAACTTAATTTATTCATCACCACCCTGTTAGTCAGCTCATTAGTCCATTTTCTTCTGAGGGAGTTCTTGCTTCAGAATGTTTTGGTGAAGTGCCCAAAGTTATCCAGTTAGTAACAGGCAAAGACAATATTTATACTCAGCTTCCCCAACTGCCATTCCAAAGCTTATTGATCACAACCTTGCTTTCTCAACTATGAATTAAAGCACATGTTCTGACATATTTATTGCACATATGGAACTCTTTAACAGAATATTTGATGTCATGTTCATCCTGAATGAATTGGGAGAAACATTTATGAACCTGTTTTACAGTGGTCCCATTTCGTACATGACCCAACTTGGTTGGTCTCTACTAGCTGTTGGGAAGGGAGCAGTACGATGAAGTCATACTGATCAGACTGCTTTCTTTGCCCATCTGGTTTGTATTTTGCTTTCCCCTGCAGCGTGATCTGTGAAAGGCCCAAGTGTATGAAGTGCTTCAAGAATTTTCCTACCACTGTTTTCATGAGTAATTTTATCACATTGCTAAATTGAGAAGCACTCCTTTTTCTTTCTTTTTTCTTCATGTGAAAGGAATGAAAGTCCCAATTTTTCTATTTGTCCGCCCCATAGTTTCACAACCTATTTTGTTTGCACTCTTGTTAATGTAGCAACCATATGATTACCTGTTAACTTCTTTCTCCTCTTTAATAACAGGATTTTTTGTTTGTTTGTAAAGGATAACAGTTAACCCAAAAGAAATGTGTTATTGGTAAAGTTTCAGGATGGGATGATTATCTGATTCCTCTGAAATCACATCACTTGAATCATCTGGAGTGAGACCTCCTGACTCCCAAGTTATCTTCTGGATTATACACAGGCAGGCAGTATTGGCCTTCTCAGGGGTTGTAAAGTAACTCGCTGGTCTGCTCACCAAAACTGTGCTTCCTGATCTGACTTCTGGTTTTTGAGCCTTCAGCCAACTGAGACCTGTGCTTATCAACTTCCTGTTTTCAGTTCAGGATTGGACTGTGACCCCTGGAATCTGTTCCTTCTTCTCTAAGCCCTGAGAAAGAGGAAGGGTGACTCCCCAGAGGAAACAGAAACTGTCCCATGGCCAGATGTGTAGATGGCTGGCTCAGCTCTTCTCACTGGGTCTAGAACTGAACATCCCTTGTGAAGATTCTGAATCTTAAATGTTTAAGAACCTGGAGACAGAAGAGAAAGATGGGAAAAAAAGAGGAAACCCATCAAACCAAAGGATCTGGTAAAAGACCATAGCTTTGTAATCGGGGTTGGAAAGCCCATGTTCCAGACCCAGTGAGATGGGCAAAGAGGTGACATCTGCCCTAGCTTCTGGTCCATGAGGTTGCCCTCAAGTCTGATGAGGGGTTTTTATTTCAACTTTATACCAAGTTACTAACTTTAGATTCGTTGACTGTGTAAACCACAAAGTACTGGAATTCTCTAAGTTGTTTCTGATATATATATATATATATATATATATATATATATATGAATCTTTTTTCAATTTTTGTTTATTATCTAATTATAATTATTATCAATGATATTGTTTAAATCGCTGTATCTAACTTTGCCCCCTACAGAATATTTCCAGCATGACAGCTGCAGTAACTCTCTCCAGCCCTAGGTAAGGCCATTCTGTTCTTTGCCCAGACTCTCTTGGTCACTCGCATGAAGTTGAAAGTTCTTCTCCCCACTGGCCTCCTGCCCTGACCTCTCCTCACTGCTTTTTACACACTGCTCTTTATAGGAACCTTTTAACATGAACAAAGGGTGTGACCAGCCCATGCCCAGCTATACTGATGTCAATACACCCTGATACGTAATGCAGGTCAGTAGAAGTGGCCTGCGTGAGCTTGGACAAGTCTCTGGAATTGAGTTTCCTCCTTTGGAAGAAGAGAAATACTTTCTTTGCTTCTGCTATAAGGCTGGTTTGAGGACTAAATGGGTCAATATATTTTCATTCTTTTTTTCAATAGTTATCTATCAAAGATCTGCTCTGTGCCCATTGCCCAATAGTCTTGGGGGTTCTCAGTGAACACAATAAAAACTATGCCATCAAAGCTCTTATGTCATGTTATATCAATTTTCACAGTTATAATCTTACGTGGAAATCCAACACATAAAATAAAAAAGAAATGAGCAGTGGGTAAAAGTTATGTTTGCTTATCCCAGTCCAAGCTTCCCAGTAGACACTGGAAAATATGTTTGAAAATAACATAAGAAAATATCTTCACATTTGCAAGAGATACAAATTTAGAAGTTGGTGACTCCCAAATTTGCATAGTAGATGTTGTCATTGCTACACAGATCCCTTTGCTAGCAGAAACACTTACCCATACCCCTAGTGGGAGTATTAGCCACTAGCAGGATAACATAGCATAATGACTACATAACATTTTTATTGTATTAGTTAACAGAAGCAATCAAGAGATAATGTAAAGTATTCAGGAAGATATGTGTAGGTTATATGCAAACTCTATGTCATTTTACATAAGGGTCTTGAACATTACAGATTCTGGTGCCTGTGGAGAAACAAATCTCCTGTCGATACCAAGGAACACCTATAATATGTAATTGTGTATTTGTATGTATGTGAATGTGTATATATGTATGTGTAAATGTGTGGTTGTAGGTGTGTTTTGAATATATGTGTGTGAGTATATGTGTGAATGTGCATGCAAGTGTGCCTGAATGTGTGTATATACACTGAACTAGAGCCACCCAAAGCAGGTATGAGTGTGGAGTCTTCCAGCTCCAAAGGGTTTCTTGCTTACATTGAAGAGTGGGATTCCAGGGTTGTTTTCTTGGACAAGAGGAAGCACCCTGGGTTGAGAGTTGGAGGATTAGTGGATGGCTTCTCACACCAGCTACTGTAGCTGATTGCAGAGTTGAAATACAAGGTAAAGTCTGCATTTCAAGTGCCAATCTTCTGAAAAGACTGACTTTTGAGATAGTCTTTATCTCTGAATTGTTAGCTAAATATTTTCCTAAATTATATATGTGTGGAAGAATATTCTCTGTATTTTCATAAATTGTTATGTGCATCTACATTGCTTAGGGTCCTGTCAAAAAACACACAAAAGAGAATTGGTCAGAAAGGTGAGGTAACAGTTTAATGAAGAGTATTTGTAAAGGAAGAAGATAGTGAAAACAAACAAGTAACATGGATAAGGCACCAGAGGGGAGCACCAGAGGGAGCCTTTATGTCCTTGGCCTGAAAGGAAAGGGAGGGAGGTCAGGTGAGAGGAAGATGCCTGCCTCCCTGTTCTCCCCTTAACCTTCTGCCCACACCTTCCACTGCCAGTACTAACCAGTGCTGAAGGCAAAGAATTCCCCAGGATGTAATCATGGAGCAGGCGTAAAAAGATGGAAAGAAATGATGGAGATAGGAGGAGATCCGGAGCTGCAGGAGTAAACGTCCTGAGATGAGCCAGGCACTATGCAGGATGATGGTGGAGACAAAGTGAGCAAGCCACAGCCCCTTGTGGAGGAGCAAACTCAGGAATACAGTGTGAAGAAAGAGCTTAGCTTCTAGTCACGACCCACAGTTACTGTCTTTTATTACGAAGAACAGATGACATTTAAAAGGGATATAATTTATATGAGCTGAAGAGTATTTTTTTTTGGTACCAGGGATTGAACTCATGACCTTGTGCTTGCGAGGCAGGTGGCTAGCAATTGAAATCTTTATATAATAATGTGGTAGTATATATCATGCAACAGTAGTCTGTGAACCTAAAACCTAATGATTTGTAATATTATTCTTATCTCTTTCTCCTACAGGATCCTGTCATGGAAATGCAGGCCCTGACCCTTAAGCTATTCACAACCTGGCCTCCTTGGCTGTGAAAATGATTAGCAATAGCGTTAAAGAAGTGTTTGTAATACAGAGTAGCAAAGAGGAGAGGTGTCTTCTCACATTCATTCCTAGGCTCCATGTGCCACAGAGAAGACAGTGAGTGTCCCATCATCTCAACAGGGACAAAACAACCAGCAACTGAACAAAGGAGGAGAAACCACAAACCATGATAGCACATGGCATCTGCTACTTAAATTGTGAAACAAAAGCCACAGATCTGTTGTTGGCAGCAGAATAAACATCATGTGGCATGTGTGTACGTGCTGATTTTAAACACTGAAAACAAAGATAAATGTGGGGGTCCACTCCTGCCGTAGCCTATTCCCTCCTGCTCTCAGTCTGTACTATGATAGGGGTCGATAGGGAGGGGTACGCATGTCAACCTAAGGTGGGTTTTTTTTTTGGTCCTGGAGATCAAACTTGGGTCCTTGCACTTGCGCAGCAGGCGGTGAAACCACTGAGTGAAATCCCCGGCCCTTATATATTTTAGGGTTATTTATTGACTACATACCATTTCTGTATATTTTTGTGTGTGTCTGTGGATGCATTGGTTTTTTTTTTTTTTTTTTGGTTCCAGGGATTGAACTTGGGACCTTGCAGTTGCAAGGCAGGTGCCAGAACCACTGAGCTAAATCCCCGGCCCTAAGGTGATTTTGTAGGGCTCCTGTCACTCTGCTATTGAGATCCCCTTTCCCATGCAGGCTGAGGACTGTCGGAATGCAGTCCTCAGAAATGTGTGGCTTTGTATGACTTGATTATTCTCTGTCCATTTGTGGAAACAGCTTTCCAGTGAGAAGGGAGAATTTCATCCTAAATGTTATAGCTCAGTTTTAACTTGATACTCTATTGGAGAGTGAGAAAGAACTGAAATAAATTTTTAATGAAAAAAATATGAGAGGAATTGGGGTCTGGTCAAAAAAGATTTGTGGTTGTTAAAGGTTTGTTAAAAATGTCAATCTCCAGTTAAAAATGTTTCAATCCCCAGTACTGAAAAAAAATTCTTAATTTCTAAGTATTGGAAACAAAATTATTCCATTAAGGAAGAAAGGAAATGGTTAATTGACACTCCCTGAGGAATCAGTTCTTCAAGGTAAATGTTTTGTCTCAAGGAGGACTCAACCTGTACCTGACAATATCTTGCTGGTAGTATTGTAGATAGGTAAGTTAATTAGATATCTTGTAGGCATTTAGACAGGGCCAGCCCTCAAGGAGCCAACGTGGAGAACAATCACTAGAAAGCAGTATGGAGAACAACTGAGGCACATTCACTGGTTAGCATCATAAAAAAAGAAGAGAGGTACTACTTCCCCTAGAGATGAATAGCAGTGATTGATATTCTAAATGGAAAAATTGCTTGCACATGACTTGATTTCCCATTTGATCCCCATTTAATCAATATTACCTGGGTGACTGTACTTGTAATCTTTTTGGTTGGTCATGGTTTTTTCCACCTCGTGCCCACCTTGTAATTTTCTGTTGGGTCTTGTAGTTTTGTCCCACTTTGTACCTGCCTCACCTCATGGCTTTGCCATATAAAACACGTTTAAAAAGCTGAGTGGGTGGGCAACCCATTTTCTGCTTCCCCTTCTGTCTCTCTTAAACAGAAACTATTCTTCTCTCAATAAATTTTTCCTACTCTTAACCTTCGTGGTTCCTAGAATTCATTCTTTGATTTTAGAGAACACAAATTTGCATTTCAGATATCTAGCAAGTCTGAGAGTTCCATCTAGTCCCCCTGTATCAGTACAAAAGTCCCTGGGCTGGGGCATGTGGGAAGGTTTAAGAGATGTTGGCTCCCTGTGCAAAGCCAAACCTGACAGAAATGGTGTTTGTAAGTTCCTTTTGAAAAATCAAGTAACACAAAGAGATCAAAAAGCTCTGTTTAAACACAGACTATTCCAGTTTGACTTTGTTTTTAGAAGCTGCTGTGTTCCTGTTCAAAGACAGTGCTTTTTAACTGTGTACTATAAACAAGTGTTCAGGTTATGTGTGGGGCAGCAGGACATTGATGTACACTTGTTGAATAAACAAGCAGACCTAGGGCTTTGATACCTACTGTGCAGAGTTCAGAGAGAAGTCCATGGGCTTTGCTGGCTTTCATTTCTAGCAGCTGAGTGAAGGGAGAGGGATATACTTCCGCCTGGTAACTAGGTACGTGACAGGAATGAAGTCTTCCATGTTCCCAAGGAAGTATTTTAAAAACCTGTGTATAGTTTGTCTTTGATTTCTTCCCCACAATTATGTAAATGGTACTTTTAAAAAAAAAATTGGAGGTTTAAGGTGTCAGTTTTATTAATGGAAAATTGGATGGAAGAATGGTGTTTGCACTAAATACCCAAACACAGCTTTCTTTTTCTTTCTTCTATGAACTGAATTAATTCATTTAGCTACTAAGAGTTGAAAAAGAGCCAGTAGAAACATGGCTGGGCCTTCCAGAGAGGGAGGAAGGCATGGAGTTACTGCCTCTGGGCATGAGCAGGTGGGAAGAAAAGGAGGAGAAGGGGATGCAGGGCACGAAGTCTTCCTGCCTGCAATTATCTTCACACAGTTGTCCCACCACTAGAACAGAGAGACAGATGTCCTCCTCCTTCCTGACCAGAAAGCTCCTGCTTCTTACCTTTCCATCACAGGTGTAAACACCACTGGACAATGTTGGACTTGCATGACTCTCCATAACTATCAATCTTCAGCTTTTCCCTCTACTGACTTTAAGTTTGTTGACTGAGGATCTGTAAATTAGACTGACAGAAATTAGGTAAAAACAAGTTTATGAACACATGCATGATGTATGCACAAGGGAGTACTCTGTGAAGAGTAACTCAGGAGGACAAGGAGAACTTGAATTCATACAGCAGCTTAGCAAAGATCAATGGTCTTGTAGAGAAGTGGTAAAGCAAGGGAAAACAACTCTCGGCTTCTAAGCAGGTGGATTGTGGGAAGATAAATACAGGGAACTAATGGAAGATAAAGGCTTCTATTTAGCAAGGTTTGTTGTATAGATTCTTCTGGAACATTCTGTGACCTGAGTCTAGAATTGTCTCTGGTGATTAAGAGTCTTTTGTTCTTCCTGAAAGAGATAGGGCAAGCAATTTTTCTTGTGTCTGCTTCTTTTTCATTCAGCTCAAAATAATATATACCAGCATAGCATATTTTGGGAAGGAATATCCTGTTATTTTCTCTGAAGGAGAAAGTCACTTGCTTAACTTTCTTATTCCCTCATCTGTAAAAAGGAAATAATAATCTTTAGGCATTCTGAGAATTTCTTGGAATAATCCATTCAAAGCACTTAAAACTGTATCTAGTAAGCAGCAAGTACTCAGTAAATACTGCCTAACATTGCTACTGTTCCTGCTGATAAAATCCTCTCGATTTCCTCAAGGCCCTTTGGTTACTGATTTGAGGGTAAGAGAAGTTATGGGTACAACCACAAGCAGCTAAGTAGGAAGGGGAGAAAAAGAACTTATTAATAATATCCTCTTCCATCTAGAAATTCTTGGAGATGGTGAGAAGGTAAGTGGTATCAGCTAAGTAGGAGACCATTCATTAAGGATTAAGAATCAAATATTAAGAGATACTTATTTCAATGTGTATGCCATTGATTGTCCCCGAGAAGTTATACTTAGGACTGTAGATCTGAAGTGGGTGAGGTGAAAATAAACCAAAAATTACAATGAAAGTAACATTGAAAGAGCTTTCAAAATGAATCTGGGAGGCCAGTAAGAGGGCAGGACTTACACATGATTCCAGCTCTGCTTAGGAATGTGAACTTTGATCACATCCACCTCTGTCCACAGGCACCTGGAGCAACCAGAGCAACTGGACAATTGCTTTGTACACAGAGGCTTAAGAAATGTATCAACGGGTATCAGAATCTTGTTTTATGAACTTTTCCTTTCTTTCTTAGGTTATATGGTCCCCGCTGCTTCTCAGCCTTCATACCTCTCATAAGGTCCCATTGCTCTTGCTGTCTGCAGAACACTGATTCAGAACTCTCTGAACCTACATCTTTAAATTGCAGTTCCTAAGATCCCGAATAAAGTCCTTTGTATTTGTGCAGTTTCTGAATTTGGATTGACTGACTTTGATGGGTAAGAAATTATTTATCAGGTGGAGGGAGGAGATATATACTTTATGAATAGGATAAACAAAATGAGATACCCATAGAAAGGATTAACATAAAAAAATCTTGGCTTTGTAGTGAAAGCTCATTTTGGCTTCATCTGAAGCTGGGGAAATGACTGGGAGGAATGAGCAGAAGAAATGAACAGAGGAAAATTAGCAGGACTTTGTAAGGATAGGACTGGTATGCAAAGAGTTAAGGCCAGAGATCCACACAAAGAATTGTCACCTCTTTCACCATTAAATGGAAATATTTAGTAAAACTCTAGATAATTTTTATCTCATATGCAGAACACCCCTGGACTTTGAAAAAATACTATTTATGTGTAATAACCTGTAAACATTACATAAAAATTATAAGAGACTTGTCTTTGCTAGACTCCTGCACTAGGCCCTAACAGACCAGACTAAAAATCAAAATGGAGTCACTCATACTGAGGGGCAATGTTACTGAGAACAGGAGATGGAAGGACAACAGACAGATTAGGGCAAGGGCCTGAGTAAACTAGGGTAAGCCTACTAGGAGTACAAAGGGCAAAGGCCTAATGAAATTTACTTGTCTAACATCAGAAGCCTAGCAACAGTGGGAACTGTACAGTTTCATTTTCGTGTGCCCTCCAAGTTTAAAAATGGCAGCAGATGGAATTCACCAAGAACAATTGCCTCATTTTGCATGACCACCAAAATGGCCTGCCAAAGACTGCATATGAACCTCCAGATTTAGGTTCCTGCATTCTATCCTCTCTTGGGTATAGAACTTTGGTGAGAGCTTTTCTTTGTTCTTTCTAATAAATTATACCTGGTTTGTTCTCCACTCTTTCTGGACCTCATTCTTCATCTTCTTCAGAACAAGGACGAGGTGGGAGAAGTAAATTGGTAACATTACCTAACTGTGGCAGGAGATAGATAGCGTGGGAGATATCCTGGCCTTAGGCTCAAAACTGATTGGATGTCTTCTGGCTCTTGGGAGTCCAAAAAAGCATCCTGCTCTCACCATATTTCATTATCATCTTAACTTGAGCCTGAGAAATATGGTGCTATCTTCACCATATCTCCTTAACATCCTGACATGAGCCTAAAAAAATATGCTTCTACCCTTCTCACACCTTTTCTTTTCTTTTCTTTTCTTTTCTTTT